AAACATATCTCATGGCCAATATGAAGCCAATACAAAAAATTGGAATTCCACAGCTCAAACAACACATCGTCCCTCAATGAACTTTCATGCACCTTCCATCCCAACTCCTCCTGTTGTCCTTGCAACCCGAAACACGTTCTCGTATTTCCAGCATCTTGTATACACGTATACATACATATCTAGTTCACGGCTTCCAGCATCAATTTCTCGAAGACGGCAAGCAACGAACTACCTACCCCTAATTGTCTCAATTCGTTCTCGGATTCGGGATTCGGGACGGAACGCTGCAGAAGAAAGTATAATTTGTATTCACCCTATCATTATCCAAATTCCCCAGGGTTATGGACTGTTGCCACGAGAATTATTTCTGTACAAGAAAAAGAAAGAAGGAAAACAAAACGCCTCTAGATAACACCTTCCCAGCTCATCTCTTTACCGGGGTAAACCCAACCCTGAGCTCTGGTTTTTTCCAAAGCACTACCAATTTCGAATCCCTTTCCCAGTTTAACTCCTTACTCTTCAATTCCCAATCAAATTCCCACGCTAATCTCGCCAAAACAACCCGCATTTCCATATACGCCAGATTCACCCCCAAACATGCTCTGGAGCCCATAGAAAAGGGTTTACTGGCATCTTTGTTATCATTTTGATATCGAAGATCATAAAATGGGTGGGAAGAAGGTAGATATCTCTCAGGGTGAAATTCATTGGCGTCGGCGAAATATTCTTCGTTATGGGTAGCAACGTAGCCAGAGACACAGACAACTGCGCCTTTTGGAACATAGTGGCCATCGATCACGGCGCCCGGACACTCGCGTGGGAGACCCATTGGTACGGGCGGGTAGATGCGAAGACCTTCTTCAATTACAGCAGCAAGATATGGAAGGGCTGCTGTGGAATCGCTTGTGATATCTTCCGAAGATGTGAATGCATTGCGGATCTCTTCTTGAAGACGTCGTAGTGTTTCGGGCCTGTTAAGAAGATAGTATGTCACTCCTATAAGAAAAGTAGCGGTGGTCTCCGAGCCGGCTACAATAAGCGTATTAGATTGCGCTAGAATGAATTCGCGAGTAATCTTTGGTCCATTTTCTTTTTCGCGTAGTAGATGCGAGAAGAAATCGTCTCGGTCATTGTTTCCTCGTTCCATACGTTGAGTTGCTTTTTGCATTGAATTTTGGAAATGTACCTTGCTCTTTTCTTTCAAGCCTTTAGGCATGAGAATTGTTGCAATCTTTTTGAAAAATGAGTTCATGAAAAATGGGAAGCGTCGAAAGATTTCCATGATAGCCATCAGATGGACGGTGCTGAGAATGAGACTGATCCACGGATGGCCTTCTCCAGACTTGACTGCATCGAATGATTCCCCGAAGGCAAGATCACCAATTATATCAAAAGTTAACCAATTATACCACTGTGTTCTGTTAGTAGTGATTCACAAACAAGACTGTTCTAACTTACTTCTGACAAGTTCAGTCCCTTCTCATCGTCCTTACGCTGATGTATTTGAGAAACGAACAAGTCCATATACTGGATCACCACTTCCTCTTGTAGTCGAAGCGCTTTAGCACTGAATGCATGAGAAAGAGATTTTCGGATGTCTCGATGAACAGCCGGATCTCTTGCTGAAACAATGCCAACATTGGTTTCCGAACCAGTATTGTAGGCTTGCCCTTTGAGAAACAGGGCTTTCCCTTGCTTAACGTGACCATGAATTTCTTGATTTGCTTGAGGAGATGCGAAGTCTCTGTTCTCGAGTTAGTAAAGTGACATTTTGATGTGCTAATTTGGTAAACTAACAAATCGTTTGGTGCAAATCTGACAACTGGACCATATTTTTGATGCAAGCTGATCATAGTCTTGTGGTGATTTCCAGAAGTACTGTACTTCATTAGTTTTGAGCGTGGAACAACAGAAACTGTAAAGTTTACTTATGCCAACACAGCCAGCCATCTGTTATTGCAGCTAGCCTTGGGCCAGGAAACTTTGCAAGTGGATGAAAATAAAGATTATATATCACTTTGTATGTGATGTAAGAGGTAGTCTATTCAAGTATTAGCCATCTATACAGACAAGAGGATCTGTTTGACTTACTATAATTCCAGCAAGAAGTAACAAATTGGAGAATTTCCCAATGATACTTTCTCCTTCTGTTGATATGGTAGGAGCCATCTTTGTTCTTCAATGTAGTCCAAATTTTCAGCAGGATTTTGAAGTTTCAAGTCAGGTTTCCGTTGTCATATAACTTTGGCACCACTGAGGGGATTTGTTCTTAAATGGACGAGTTAACATTGGCATGCATCGGTATTTTGCTCGCATCGCAAACCACCGAAACGAAACGGCTATTTGTGTTTTCGTATGCCCAAATTTTAGGTGCGAGGACCCCACTATCCACCAAATTCTAAGATACGCGATGCGATATCTTAAATCTGCCATTATTGGCCAAAGATAGAAGAAACCATTTTGCTCTGCACCTTTGCCTAGCAACTGTGTCTAGGAATCATAAAACGACATACATGTTCCCAGCTTGCCAATTACTCTCATCCAATCACGAATGATAAGCCACAAAAATAATGGGGCAAGATCCTATCAGGAAAATATCCGAGATGTCCGATAATCCGACTTGCTTGCACAGCGAGCACAGCAGGTAGTGGCAAGGATGGGAAAAGGCTGTGTCGTATTCGCTATCTCGCATTCGCATCAGGATGCAAATGATCTGGAAGAACCTCGTTTCGTGATGAATGGTATCTTTGAACAACAGGTAATTCTAAAGAATATCTGCAAATCACAACTTCCAAGCAGCAATATGATGAAGATGTTCGAGACATGACTGTGATTCCTTTCGCTCTTGAATGTTCAGCGAAAGTTGCTCAAATTGGTTAATTATTGGATCTTTCGTCCTCTCTGTGTTGAAAGTTCACTCTCTATCAATACTTGTTTTTTGTGAATTTGGTGGACCTATTTGCAGTCTTCTATATTCCCGATTGCAGATCTTCCTCTATGGCTGAACTCCACATACTTACTCAATTTCAAGCTCACTGGCAGAAATGTTTCGCGATCGAAAGGTAGAAGAATTGTCGCACTGTCATTCTTGGCATGATCTAGAAATCTGTGGCGATTAAACCACTCCTGACATCTACGAGACTGATCCTGAGAACAAGAGTTACTCTTACTACATCAATTTCCCAGAGAGGTATATGGAGAAGTTATTCTGGCTGCGTGAACATCTCAAATTGGCCACGAATTCTCTGCAAGTCACCTGAGAGCAACGCTGTGTGTATGCACTCGTTCCATGGGAGGTGTCAATATTATCATCTCTGTATTTCATCACCCTGGCTATGCGCCATACTTCTATTCTTCTCGAGTATCATCACGACAGCTGATGATCAACCACACTAACAGCAAGTTGTGCTTGAGCATTCGACATCAGGTATCGTAGAATGCTAATAGCAAGGTGTTAAACTGACAAACAGTTGACTCGCATGGAGATGATGTTGAAAGGGCCGACAAGGAAGATTCTACGAACGTGGAAAGATTGATTACCTCATTTCTTATAGATTCAGTTAAGATTGGTGAGGATGTATCACACTTCGTTACATTCTGTGTTGGGGGTGTCTGTACAAATCGTTCTCACCATTACAAGTTTATCCTTCAATTTTGATATTTCCTCGTTCAATGAATCATTTTAACGATGATGTATATATATGTGGATACCTCATAAGTTAAAAGCTCGCAAACACTCAACAATGGATCATAAGCGCTACTGATTGGCAACTTCACGCCAAAAACAAACCGCGTTCAAATATACGCTTGATCGAAATACTTACTTGAGATCTTGAACTGCGAGTGAATGTCGGAATTGAAAGGAAAGTAGAGCAAGTATTCTAAGAACCAGGTTTTTGATCTGGTCATAATTTTCGCTTTTCGCCACAAACATGAAGAAAGACTTCTGTATCATGATGGACCAGCAGAAATTTGGATTGGCCAATGAATAAGACAAACTACTTGTCTCCAATCCCATAATTAACAAGCGCCACCTTCATTGCCCCATTGCCTCTGTGTTATCGCTATCTCCCATCACTGAAGTACGTCCACATAGTAGGCATACCACAATGCTGTAGCGAGAATAGCTATGGCATGGGACTGGGTGAGAAGAGCGAAATCGGTAATATCAAGTGCAAATGTTGTGAATTTTGTTTATCATTGAATGATTGAATCCCAAGTTGTTTTGAGGTACTTCCATTGCAAAGAGAATCAAAGCGAATAAACCAATACTGAAGTAAGGATACGCCGATAGGAAGATAGATGTACACGTCTAGACTACAAGGAAATTTTGGACCAAGACCTATGAACTCCAGATCAATTGTCGCGAAACTACTCGACATTTAGAAAACACGAAACAAGTACAAGAAAGAAGTATTGTGATAAGAGTCCAGAAATGAGGTACGTAAGGAACCTAATGTTTCTCTCAAAAGTCACAATACCAAGCACGGATTTTGCGGGGATATATTATATAAGAATTTCTGCATAAATATAAATTTATTGTTGCCACACTACCGGATCAGCTTGAGGGTAGACACCCAGGATTTCATTTTGATGTGTGATCTATCGATACAATCACGTGGCACTACCATGAATAGTCCTCAATCCACGCCGGGTTTCAAAATCAAACAAAGCGCAGCCGGATCCAAACCAATTGTTATGAGATTCGAGGGAGATCAGTTCACGGTATAATCGGATCCGAACATTGAAGCATAATTCTAATAACCCACTAAGGTTATTTTGAGATTTAAGCTTCCACGGGTTGTAGATTAAGCGCGTAGATATTATGCTTTAAATGTCTAGAAGGGAGAAGAGAATGGACCCCTTTCTCTTCGCGATGCAAAAGACAGGAGGTCGTTCATCTGAGTTATTAGCTGATGCTTAGTAGCTATTCCATCAATAATCGAAAACGGCAATTATTCTCATCTCATTTTTCGTCGCTTTTCACACCGAAACGGCTTTTAAAGCCACTTTTTGAGTTCGAGCAAGTGTGCCTTAATTTCCGTGGTTCTGCTTCCAGCCCCCAGAAGCCCATTGCTGCTATTAATACCGGGGAACGAGAATATGAAGACATCCGTAAAGACGAAGCACCGAGGTTTCCGAGTGCTGCTTCCCTTCTTGGTCGAAAATCCGTAAAGACGAAGCACCGAGGTTTCCGAGTGCTGCTTCCCTTCTTGGTCGAAAATCCGTAAAGACGAAGCACCGAGGTTTCCGAGTGCTGCTTCCCTTCTTGGTCGAAATTTGCAGCTAATGTCGTATCTTCCCGTGCCTTTCGTTGTCATCCTTCCAATTACTCCTATTCATTCATTGTTGGCGATATTGATTGGACTGGTAAGTCGTATTGTGTGTGATGTTGTCAAACCATTAGTGATCTGTAGGTATGCGATTGAGCAAACAAGAAGCGGACAGATGCATTGAAAAATGTAAGACTACCTAGACATTAAGAGATCCTTGAATCAGATCATTGGTGCAAGGCTTAATAAAGAAGGCGTATGTAAGCTTTGCCAAGGTTCGTCTAAAAGCTTAACTTTGTGGCTTTCCCTGGCTTTCCCTGGCTTATTCTATTTCTTCTAGCTGACGCGGCCTAGCAAGGGGCAATTGAGCACACGACTCGAGGAGAGGGATGTGGATTTATTGGTGGTGTCCTTTTCTAGGATGAACTCCCGTTTTCCCAAGCACTTGGTGGGAGAAAAAGAAAACGGTAGATGAAAATAGCTTCGAATTCCTTGATCCCGGGGCTGAAGGGGGTCAACCCTAACCCCAACCAACCAACTCTCTTCTGTGACCTCCTTGGTTTTATCACTGCAGGCTTGACAGTACAGCACCGACATGACAACATCATCAGATGGCGGCTAATCGAGCTCAACCTTGTTGATTTCACGGATACCGGATGCATCCACCCAGCTTTTCCCCAGGTATGAACTCTTTTCAGTAATGATTAACATTCTTTTTCCTCGCCTTGCATTCTTTCTCCGTCTCTCAAACATAGGCAAAATACGTCATCTTGGTATTCCAATAAAAGTGACGATATGCCACGCCATTCTAGCCACGCTCACCCTAGATCAATCTGAAACCTCTGGGAACTCAAAAAGAGAGATGTGAGCAGCAGAATCAAAGTTGGGTCCAAAGCGTCGTAATCTATGTGTAGCAAGCCGTATGCTGCTTACGCACTAAGATGAACTGAGCCTTTTTCTCTGAGTATTGCATTGCGAGATGTTGATGTCGAATACTGGGTATTAGTTGTTTTGGCTGACCACCATTGGACGACCTGTCTGAAAGCTCGTGATGGAATCTATCAGGTACAAGACTTTTGCTTCTAGATTTTGATTCAACCTTTTGCCTTCAAACAGAAGCAAGCGCTAAATGATGCCGGCTTCTCATATTCCTCAAATCCCTCATCTACTACCAGCACTACTACTACTACTACTACTACTACTAATAATAATAATTGTAGCTAGGTTCCTCGTACTATGCAGTATCGTAGATACATCTTAGAGCATTATTTTGGGGGCTGATGCGTGAACCCACGACGACTTTCCCATTCGTCCAATAATCACTCAATATTTCTCTTTCCCTTGACCTCAATTCTGTCTAAGCGGCGAATTGAACAAAAATACATGCTTCCTCCTCACGCCGCCTTAATCTCTCAATATCTCAACAATCATAACTCCGTAAGCTGTTTGCTTGATCACATTTGAGAGAAAACTAGCAAGATCCGTCTCCACTCAATTGCTTCTTGGGATATATCCCTTGTCTTGGGTGACGAGTACCAAAGGAGTACTTGATCGTGTGCTTCCCCACGTCTCTTTTTAATTTTCCTTGAATCAATACCTTTTTACTTCATTCTCCATTGCATTTCAATCTTGATCTTTTCCGCATTTTGCATTGGTACTCTCTCTCTCTCTCTCTATCTTCCCCTTCCTCTTGTACCTCTTTGCTTCACATACAACGGCAGCTTCCGAATTCCTTCTCTCGATATACAATTCGATCATACATCTCTTGGCACATCCTTTCATCCCACATCCACAATTTAGAAAAGCCGCGCCAAGACGGTTGTTCAACCCTGTCCAAATTGCTTTCTCGTAAGCTGATCACCATATCGCCATAATCGAAAATGCGCATTTCGTGGATCATCACTTTACCTGGACTTTTGTCCATTGTGTCGGCGCTGGCAATTCAAAAACGAGATGCCGACTTTTACAGTGTGCGCACGCAGTTACACAAGGACATGAGCGGAAGGAGAGGTGATCCAAGCGAGAAATATTTTCGTGAGTTCTTGTTTTCTTCCCAAAGAGAGTTTGTTGTGGCGGAACCTGCGACTATGGACCTGTCCGAATTGTCCGGTCCATGATGATTAGAGTTTACGTTTAGTTGAAACCCAGCTAACGGAATTTTCCCTAACAGATGAGAGTGTGTACGTATTTCTACCATCTAATTATAATGTGGGATCGAGGGATTTCGAAGTCAATTTGGAATTCAATGCTAACACGGCGAGGTCAATAGCTTCCATCCGCATTACGATGGCCGGTATGTAATTTCTATGGAATTCTTGCTACAGTGCACAATGGCAGAACCTAATATTATCCGTATAGATTTGCCGACAAGCAATTGGGCTATAGAGAACGCAGACAAGCACTTTCGAATCTCATTCAAACCTACCTAGCTACTTTCTCAGATATTGGAGTGGAAACATGGCTCATGCATGGTACTTTACTCGGCTGGTGGTGGAATCGCAAGGTAGGAACGACACTGCAAATATTCCGATTACTTCACAAAATCTCACAATTTTTAGATTCTACCATGGGATTCCGACTCCGATGTCCAAGTTTCCGAATCTTCGATGCACTTTCTCGCCTCTTACTACAATATGACTGTCTTCCACTACAAAACCCCGCGCATTCCAGAAGGCCGAGATTATATGCTAGAGGTCAACCCTCATTATATTAACAGGGAGCAATCGGACAAATTGAATGTCATTGATGCACGATGGGTCGATACTACGAGTGGCTTATTCATTGATATCACAACCGCCAGATATAATTATACTCATCCTGCCGGAGAGGGAATGATGAGCTGCAAGGATGGTCATGAATATAGGGTAATTCTTTTGGTAGTACGATCAGCTGGATTGCGCTAATAATCACAGGATACATACATCTTTCCATTGCGAGACACCTTCTTCGAGGGAGCTCCAGCCAAGATTCCTTTCGCCTACAAAGAAATTTTGGAGGCAGAATATCATGAGAAATCATTGACCTTGACTGAATTTGAAGGGTATGTTTGATGGAATCACAATTTTCACCCTGGAATATCTATGCTAACTTAACCAAAAAGCCACCACTTCGACGATGATAAGATGGAATGGATTCCCGTGATGCAAGATACTCAAGTACCAATGGAACCACAAAAGGAAGCTCAGCCACCACCAAAGACGGATGCACAAAAGGCGGAGGAGGCGAAGCAAGCCGCTGAAAATGCGAAGAAACTGGAAGAGGCCAAGAAGTTGGAGGAAGCCAAGAAGTTAGCAGAAGCACAAAAAGCTACAGAGGAAGCTAAGGAAAAAGCGAAGCAAAAAGCCGCACAGGAAGCTCAACAAGATGATACATCACCCGTAAGCAAACAACCAATCAAAGAAGAACAGCCAAAATCACAATCCCATGATGCATCCGAACGTCCGCCAGCTCAGCGAGCCGCAGAGAATAAGATATTTACTGCAGCCGAGAAAAAGGCCAATCAAGTACAAAAAGCTGAAGACAAACGTAAACAGGACGAACAAAAAGCCGCCGATGCGAGACAGAAAAATGAGGAAAAGATGAAGGGAGAAGTTAAGAAAACTGAAGGTTCCACGTCGGTCTCCTAATCATTTTATATTTCCAAACGGTCGATACAACCTGTCACCTCACGGCATTCGAGCTTCATTGAACGATTTCGTTATTCCTGGCAGAACGAGGAGCCAATTTTACGGACCTATAGGATAATAGTTTGCTACCTTTTATTTTCATTTCTTTAAATTCGCTAGGCGATTTTACTTTCTTCGCTATCATTTCTTCATTACATCATACGATATTCTTCAATAGTTCCACCACAATCTGGACTAATGAATTGAAAGACGACAGAGTTCTGGATTCGGATGATTACGAAAAGAAACGGCAGTATATGGATAACATGGCGCGCCAAAGCTAGGGCATTTGCATATAGTCGGGATCTGATTTGGCGTTATATTCCCCTCCCAGATATGGGAAAGTATTGTATCGGATGGAGCATTTGACCGAAAATTGTATTGGTGGCGCAAGGAGTTTGATGTCATTGAGTATGATGAGTTGAATAGATCTTACTATGAGAGTTGGAGACGTTCAATTTCGCATCTACTAGAATTTGAATAATTTCTCAAACTTAAATTTTCCTTATACCAGAACTCCCTCCTTTGGATCAAATCTATGATTTGTGAAGGGCAATGAAAGTATGGACTGAACTGGATTGGGCTGTCTCTTTTTATTGTAGTGGCAGGCCCTGAAGCGTGTCCTTGAATGATCTGCAAACGTATAAGGCTGCAAGCGCAAGCTTAAACCCCTCATCGAGATTGACATCCGAACCGAACCGAATACAGATAGTCCAAGGGCTATCAAACACTTCGATACATCGGATGTGCGGCCAAACACTTTCCACCATTCCCATTTTGTTGTGTAGTAATCATCTCTGAGAATATGCGTTTTTAAGTGGCCAGTTAATATATTATCAGACTATCACATGCAAATGCAAGCTTTGAAGAAAAATCATCAAGTGAAGTAGAAAATCCCCACTATGATTTTAGGCGTTGTCTCTCCATGTGGATCCTTCGCATACATATGTCTTGACTCGCTGGCCAGGTTCTTGATAGAAACAGGGATAGCTGTCGGAAAACCTTCCTAGGCGGAAAAAAATTGAGGAGAAAAAAGACCCTTCAAGGTCGATAAGGTGTGATTGTACCCATAACTCCTTCGGCAGGGAATTTTCAGGCTTATCGATGATGTTGATTTTTTCAAAATTATGGGGTTGTGGGTTGCTACATGAAATGGATGAATTGTATGAGCTGTTGCCCAACTTACTCTATCTTTGTTTTTATCTTCGAGGGCCAAGCGCTCGTTATAATTTTGAACTTCTTTCTTTCACAGTCAATTTGATATCAATTGAAATTTTGGTGTTATTTTTTCCCAGCCATGTCTCGTAAGTTCTACCCCTTCATCCTCACCAACGCAGAAATTTCTGTAGTTCTACAAGAAAATTTCAGAGCTAATAGTTTTCACAATACCAGCTTCAGATGGCGAAGCATCCACCAGCCAGCATAACTCACTTCCGATTCCCGAACGAAGGAACTCCCAATATGAAGATCCGCACGGTACAGCTTTAGTTGTAGGAATTGGATCACAGCCTCGTCGCCGCTCAAATGTATCTGGACGCTTAGCCTTTCGCGATAGTGTGCGCGCGGAGGATCTGGAGAGTTTAACGAGGACTGCCAGTGTTATTAGTGGACATCAGGATGCGTATCTTGAAGCGCATGGGGAATTGTCGAGAGAGGGCGATTCTGGGAAAGAAAAGGATAATACCACGATATCTTTTCCCAAAGCTGCAAAACCGGGTCCTATCAGTACGATCAGAGAATTACCTAGCGAATTTAATACACCATATTCGACTCGTCCGCCTTCTCCTTCTTCGGCGGTTAATACGCCGGGTGTGCATTCGCATCGAAATGGTCAGGGACTTGCAAATGGAAGCGGAAGTGCTACTCCACGCGAATATTTCGAGCTGCAAGTCGAAGAACCATCGAGGAATCTGCCAGAAACTTCATATCCGGATATCGGCAGTGTGAAAAGTCTCCGCGGTGCACTCATTCTTCTCATAACATGCGGAGCACAACTTATGGATAATGTTTTCATGACTGGAGTCAACATCAGTTTACCCGCCATCCAAAAAGAATTCGGAGCCAAAGCAAGTGATTTGCAATGGTTGATTAGTGCGTACACATTAACCTTTGGAGGATTCCTATTGTTAGCTGGTGTATTGAGTGATCGATTCGGACGCAAACTTATTTTCTTCATTGGGATGCTGTGGATTTCCATCTGGACAATTGCAAATGGTTTCGCCACGTCGTTTATCCAACTTGCTATTTTTCGCGCGCTGCAGGGAATCGGAGCCGCGATGACGGTTCCTTCTGCGGTGGGAATTATCTCTTCGTATTTTGTGGCTAAAGATCGTACGATTGCGTTATCGTTCTTTGCGGCTTCGGGGGCGGTGGGATTCTGCGCGGGACTAATTTTTGGAGGCTTCTTGACGGGGAGTCTGGGGTGGAGATATCTGTTCTATGTTTCCGCTGCGTTGACGGGGATTTTGGGAGTCTTGGGTCAGTTTATCCTGCCGAAGGATCGGTTGGAGGGACAGGAGAAACCGAGCTTGGATTTGTTGGGCGCGGGATTGTCGACTGGGGGACTTATTCTGCTTTCGTTTGTTTTGTCGAGTGGAGGGGTGTATGGATGGAGTAAGGCTTTCATCATCGTTTTGTTGATTCTCTCGGTCACTGTTTTGGGAATTTTTGTATACGTGGAGAAGAGAGCTTCGCATCCGATTATGCCGCTTTCGCTTTGGAAAATACAGAATTTTGCTGCGTTGTGGATTTCGGGGTTTGGTATGTTTGGAATTTTTCCTTTTGTCTCTTCTTTCTCCTCTCTACCACCTCTCTCATGAAGTGCAATTTTACATACTAACACGAACTCCAAAGTATGCTACGGTGGCTACCAAACCGTTCTCTACTACATCGTCCTCATAGCCCAAGAGATCAACCGCCTCTCCCCCGGCACCACCGCCCTCTATTTCCTCCCTATGGGCGCCACCGGCTTCATATTCTCCATGTCCGTCGGCAAGATTCTCGAACGCTACAACACCAAATCCGTGCTTCTCATCGGCATGCTCATGATGATGGCATCGCCCATCCCCGCCGCGCTGCTCACCTCAACCTCCACATCCTTCTGGTCGCACGTGCTCCCCACCTCTCTCCTCGTCGTCGCAGCCGTCACAATCGTCTACTGTTCCTGCACGATTATCCTGCTGAGTAGCGTCCCGGTGAGCGTCAAGAGTCTCTGCGGCGGCATGATCAATACCGCGTTTCAGATTGGGAGCGGGGTGGGATTGGCGCTCGCGAGCGCGGTGGTGCAGGCGGTGGATATCGATAAGGGGAAGGGAAATCTCGAGCAGTATAGTACGGGCTTGTGGTTTTGCGTCGCGTTTGGAGGGGTGGGCTTCGTGGCGAGTGCGTTTGGAGTGAGGAATTCTACGGCGGATGGGTTTGGGGGGAGGAGAGCCGGGGGCGAACAGTTTGCTATGCATTGAGGGAGTGGGAATGGTTGGCTGGCTGAACTTGGATATAGATATGTGGTTTGAGTCATGAAATTGCTCGAGATATATGAAATTGATGATAAATGGTATTTTTTTTGTTATCGCGGGGATACGGGTATGGATATCATATAATAAACATAACGAAGATAGACGATTTTCATATTTCATAGGTACATAGCTATAGATAGGTATAGGTAATGGAAAACAAACACGAATTACGAATACTGGTACATACATACAGAGAGTGTATTGAATATCCCAATAACTCCCAATTTGATAAAATAAATTTCTCTCTCCAACTCCATTCGTTGAAGATGAAGATGTAGACGAAGAGATCAACTGAGTTGGACCGAGCCAAATAGCGAATCATCAGGAAGACCTAAATTCAAGTGAGAAGTGTAGCCCAATCTTTTTTGCTCCTATACTATAGCAAATTTGCAGGCGAAGTTTCTTTGTATAAACCGGGATAAAAAAGCGCAATTGCTCCAACTCGTAGTAGACTTCATAAGATACCTGCTTCTTTAGTACATCAACAACACATTCACATGTCAAGGACCCAAGATACAAGTCCGACTTCGAACGCATATAGAAGCACATGTCATCTCATTCTTGCAGTTAATGAATCATAGCCCTGGTCGAGTTTTCAATTATTCCATTTTTGTTACGCTAAATCTCTATATTTCCAGGCGTGAAATACACACCGACACCATGCATTCCTATAATCCTATGCACAAAAAAAAGAGAAGAGAAATAATTGAATGCCGCTGGACCAAAACTCCAAGACCCTAAGATATATGTATAAAGGGAAAGCCCCCATTTATCCCAACCCCGAGAACCTTCCAATGCATATATAAATGCACGCACAATATCCGAGTCCATGCTCATATATTCATTAAGAAATACAGATACCCCTTCCGCCCAGCCATTGTACCAGTAAGACAATGACCACAATTAAGCAATTAATTCGTCCGTGTTTTCACTTATATAAATTGAAGGTAAAATCCAATTTTTGCGCTGGACCCCAAAAAGAGCGCCGCCGTGTAATATGTCCAATGGTTCTCGTGTACTAATTATGGACAAGGATGAAGACACGATGCTAAGTCAAAAACAAAGAAAATGTAACAGGTGCACCTCGTGAGGTTCGTTCAATTTATGTGCGTGTTGTTGTATAAAACAGTCGTTCGTCATGGAAAGGGCCTGAAAAGATTGCTTCGGGACCTTTTTAGTTGATATAGATTCGATCGATGGCATCGATACAAAAGGAAGATGGTTTCTTTTTGCAGCTGAGAATGGTAGCAAGAATCGTAGTCGGTGGTTTGCCAAGTTTTAGAAGGTAATACAAGGCTATTGGTTTGGGTGAAGGTGCTAAACTTGAAGATGAAATGATAAAATGAATGTCACAAACACGGACAATGATATCAGTCGGGAGACTGGCCATCATGACGAGAATGATGGAATGTTTCGAGCCTAATCACCCCTCAAACTCGTCATCGCCATCTTCATCATCACCACCTTCCATAGCTGTTCTTAAATCAATAACGCTTTTTCGAATCCTCTTTCCCAATGTAATGGGACTCCTTGGATCAGCTAAAGCTTGATACCTTTCATACTCTGTTGCTGGCATTTGCAACTCATCTTCATCCTCATCATCCTCGTTGGCATCATCAGTATTTCGAATAGCCTTTGGAGCCCGGCGAGCTCGAGTACTGGGTTCACGTGGTGGAAGAATTCTTGCAAGAGGTCCTTTAGCCCTCTTGTTTATCTTGATTTTTGACGATGAAGCCGAAATAATAAGAGGGCCCTCGGAGGGTGCTGATGAGGATTTGGCAGGGCGACCTTTACGAGCCTTCTTGGTAGGGGAAGCACTCGGAGCTGTTGGCGCGTCAGAATTGACTTCAACAGTTCGCTTGCGCTTAGTTCGGGACGATGATGGTGAAATGATCGGATGTGCGGCCGGAGTTGCCTCCTTCTTGATGATTGGTTCATGTGACGGGTCCACTTCTTCATCCTCCTCAATCGTTGCCTGTTTTCCACGCGGCTTCCGTGCCTTTAGTAATTGAGAATTAGCGACAGGGGTTTCGCTCGATCTACTATTACGTTTTCCTCGTACAGCTTTCTTGGGGGACTCTTGAATTGAGGTTGACTTTTCGACAGATACTGCTGCACGATTTCGAGTAGCTGTTCGAGGTTCACGTGTTAGGGTCTGCTCATGGGTGGAAGAACGGTTGATTTGACGATTACCATAAGAGGAGATAGTTGACTGCGATGATGAGCTGTCGCGCCTTGAGTTGATTGCCTCAGTTGCTTCTGAATCCGAGTCGTCATCGTGCTCGGTTGTCGGCAATATTGCATTTTCTTCCTCAGTTTCAGCACTTGGTTCGACATTAGCTTCCTTCTTGACCCGACCACCGGATTTGGCTGACTTGGCTGGTTGCTTCTTTGGTTTGATAACTTTAGCCTTTGGCTTGATAGGAGGTACGATTGCCGCAGGGGTCTCGGATACTGCTGTAGTAATTTGTTCTGCGGGGTTTATAACGTCAACAACAGCCACAGGAGCAGGAACGGGAAGCGGATGCTTCCGTGGCCTACCACCTGCATGCTTCTTTTTTACAACCGGTTCAACAGGCAATTCTTCGGCGATTTGATTGACAAGTAATTCGGCCGATTGCTGTAGTTGCTCTTGTTCGGCTGGTAGGAGATGTCGAGAAATATCTTCGTCCTTAATAGATTCATCTTCAAGTATCGTTTCATCTTCGCCAGATGCAAGCTGAACATCCTTAAGCTTTGACAGAGATTTTGGTGGCCTTCCAATGGGCTTTCCCGATGGAAAAGTTCTTCTGATGGGGGTTTGACTTCGGCTTTGTTTTCGAGGAGACTTAGATAACTCTCCAATAGCATCATCAAGAACTCGAACCTTGCGTTGTCGTTTTGCTGGTAAGCCGTCCGATTCATCCTCTGGTGTACTTTGATCGTACATTTTCCTCGTAGCCATTCGCTGAGCTCGACCACTTCTACCTTCACTCATATCTATTTCACCCACACCACGCTTTCTAGAGGCCGATGGAATTGGTTGCGCACCAACATGTTTTGGATGGGAAGAATATTCAAAGCCGTATACCTCTGCTTGCTTCATATCATCCCACTTTGTGGGATCTATTAGACGTCCTGCTTTTCTTTTCTCCGCTTCTATCTCTTCTTTAGTCAATTTAATCTCAGGTAGTGGCTCGTTGAGAAGTTTTAGCTTATTTGACTCTTTAAGTTCCTTTTGCTTAAGCTTTTGCTTCTCTTGTTCTCTAACGAAAGCTTGTCTTTGAAGTTTGGCTCTGAATTGTGGGTCCCGAAGACTTTCAAGACGTAGACGAAATTCATCATCTTGATGATACTGATTGATGAAAGCTGTCCATTCCGGAGTTTTTGATTTCAATTCCACTGCGTAATGTTTTGCAGTAGCCACCAGGTCGTCTCTGTCCAATTGCTCGGCAAGTCTGTCCGCCTCTTCTAAAGCTTTCTCGGCCTCTTTTTCGGATTGAAGTCGTTCTTTCTCCTGGGATTCATATGCGTAGATTTCCTCATCAATTGCATCAAATTCCCTTTGCCAGGCAGCTAAAACAGTCTATGGAATTGTTAATCCTGTTCTTCTACCCCACACAGTACAAAGCACGATATTAAATGTAACATCAGAGAGGAAACCAGGGGAAAATAAGTAGCGACGGTGACTTACTGTGCTCACAATCGCAGCTCTTTTGTACAGTTCATCATATGGCATTTCGCTAGGATTCTTAAGGTATTTTTCGAAGTGCTCCACCGGGGAAAGCTTGGGATATTTGAACTTGAGACCAATATCTGGATCATTAATATCTACATCATGTTCTTCATGGCCTTCGGCTTGATCATAGTAGTCGAATTCAGAATTTGGATCGATATATGGTTGAATCCGATCATGATCTTCTGGATCGAAATCTTCTTCGTCGGCGTCAGCGTCAGCGATGGCAATAGCAGGCTCTTGAGCTGCATTGTAGTCGAAATGCAAATCCGGTCTCGCCCCATCCTTATTGGATAAATATTTTGCTGAAGCATATGCATTCTCAAGTGAAGTAGGAGGTGGTGATAGAGAACTACCTGATGTAGTAATAGTTCCTACTGATTCCGCTGTGGATGGTCGACTGCATGCAGCCACGTGACTACGAAAGTCCTACATTTCATGAGCACCAAATGATTGACGGGAAGGAAGAAGGATTTATGTAAAGAGAGACTCACCATATCTGATAGTTCTGCAAATGTGTTACTGCAATTGGGGCATGTTGGGGTTGAAGAAAATGATGTAAAAGAACTAGATGAAGTTTCTTGAGACTCGGAAGAACCAACTCCTTTCTCAATATGAGAAGTAGAATCTTGAGTCGCAATAGGAGGAACTTTAGTTCGCGCCATATTGAAGAGAAATCCCAAGTTTTCTCAACGAATTGATTCGAAGAAAATGAAACCAACACGATGTGTTGTGCTGGCTCCAACCCAAAGAGTTTCGAGTTTTTGTCCACAAGGTCTCAAACTTGAGTTTTGCAGCTCTATATGCAACCGGAAGAAAATGTATACCAAAATATTTTGAGGAAAGGGGTACAAATTGATTTAGAAACTTTATAGGAAGATTAGCAAGAGATATTGATGATCAACTACATGCTATTTTTAAGACATAAAGCTATTGTTGTTCAAAAGTATCGTAGTCGGTCAGATTCTCATTTTACTGCTTTAAAAAGGTTATTTCGATTCAATTTGGGGTTTGCGGCTGTCGTAAAATGTTAGATGGCGGTGCTCGGTGCTTGGTGCTTAAACGCCTCAACTGTGGCTGGAGCCAATCACATGTCATTCTAAGGTTACGTCAGCCTTGCCCCATATCATGTTGATGTTGAGACCTTTATTTGCTTTATCAATAACGTCAAAATAGTGCTTCGAGACAGATGACAGTCAAAGTAAATATCACTTATTATATCATTCTTCTGACGGGCTCACTCATTCCATAATCAGCAAATACCTTCAACAATCATTCATCCTCTGATACTGCGTCCCAATTGATACACAACTCACTCACAATCATGGCTTCAAAGAAATCAAAGCCAGCTCCAACTGATGATGAATTGAATGAGCTTTTGGAAGGCATTGATGAAGTTAAAGTTAAAGCACCTTCTTCCAAGGGACCTTCCAAATCACATAAAACAAAACAACCGTCTCAATCAGAACAAGATTTACTTGCGGAACTTGAAAACCTTGGAGCACAACAACCAAGTCGACCACACACACCACGAATTCAACAAGTGAAACGTTCAAATACAGCGACTCCTCCACCAGCTTCTCGCAGAAGTGAGGACAGATCAAGCGAGGAGAAATCTGCTTTGCCTCGAAAATCTGTTGACAGTACTCGATCATTCCATACTAGTTTTACTCCTTCCGCAACTAGTAGCGATCTTCAAGAAGCGGAAAAGAAAGCTCCAATTTCTCAGCCTGCTACTGAAGCCCCTTCAGCGGGTGGAGGATGGTCATGGGGAAGCGTCTTTGCAACAGCAACAGCGACAGCTAGTGCAGCGGTCAACCATGCTCAAGCTGCAGTGAAGGAAATTCAACAAAATGAAGAAGCTAAACGATGGGCAGAACAAGTTAAAGGAAACGTTGGAGTTCTTAGAGGCTTTGGTGAGATTTTGACTTGAAGAAGTGGCAAGTGAAGAAGTGCTAATTGAAATTGCAGGTGGTGAGTTGACATCTAGAGCTCTTCCAACCTTTACAAACATTCTTCATACTCTCGCACCACCTATTTCATCCCACGAACGACTCCAAATCCACATCACCCATGATTTCATTGGGTATCCCTCTCTCGACCCTCTCATCTATTCTACATTTTCTCGTGTGATGGCTCAAGTTGAAGGGGGAGATCTGCTTGTCATTCAACGTGGCCACGAATCCACAGCGCGTCGCGCATCCGAAGCTGGTTATACTGGAGGCAATGCAGGATGGAGTGATGGACCGTGGTGGCGCGTAGGAACCGACAATCGTGATATTGGCTCCGTTAAAGGACTTATTGAAGGAACGAAACTCGTCCGTGTAAGCGCAGAAGCCTATTCGAAGGAGTATTTTGATGCGCATGGTGGGCTCGAACTCGCAGCTCAGCGAGCTACTGAAGATCTTAGCGAATCAAATCCAGTTCGCAGCAGCGATATTTTCATGGCCGTCCAAGCGATTACTCATGAAGCACCAGAAGATTTGTTTCAGGGAGGTCCAGTAAAGGAGGCAGAAGGAGGTGTGGTTGACGAAAAACCAAAACCGGATGAATTAATTTCCTTCGCTATTTACCTCCAAGATCCAATCCATAGTATCACTTTCTATACACTTACCCAAGCCATTCCTGCTAAATGGATTCAATGGCTCGATGCTCCAGCTCCCTTGACTCCAACATCCACATCTTCACCCTCTAAAGAAAAGTCCGGTTTCTTTGGTACAGAATCAGAGAATGCGCATGCAGGATTACCAGAGGAGATTCAACAAATTATAGAGAGTGGAGGAGTGGACCCCCGTGAATGGGTTGCAGAATGGGTGGAGGAGACATTGAGTTTGGGTGTGGGTGTTATCGCACAGAGATATGTGGCAAGGAGGATGGGAGTTGGCGAAGGTGGTATTGGTAAGGGGAAGGCTAGGATGGAGGAAGTACTTGGCGATGGAGGCGGGGAGGCAGCAAGAGCGGGGTTGATCTGATGGAGCTCAGTGATATGGAGAGGAAAAGGGGGCAAGGGGAAGGAATGCAGTATCCGCGGTTCTTACGAGTAATATGATATGATTGTTTTGGGCGTTTTGATTCTTTCGTCGCGTCACGGCGTAGTCATACTTAAGGATGGTTTGGTGATAGGATGTTTGAGGTCGCGTTAACGAAACAATGCATACATTTTTATCTTCTTTTCATGGGCGGATAAGGGAATGCTATAATTTCTGTATTGTGCGATACTTGCAGTTCTCTTCGTTTGATTTGCATTTGCTTCTGATGATTGATATAACAGAATGAATCCCAAGATGCCTATCCATCGATCCATCAGTTCTCACACACTAAACGATTTGGAGTAGGACAAGCTTGGAGAAGAGCACAGTGGTTGGTGCTGAGAGTAGGGATCCAATGCGATTGAAGGTAGATATAGGGAAACGTGTGTGCGGTATGAGTAATCATGTATACATGCGAGTTCTAAAATTAAAGGAATGAGCTTGCAGAGTTACAAGTAAAATGAGACTAATTATTCGGTAGATGATTTTGAGATGCTTTGATGTTGTGAGATGGGATGGGATGGGATAGGATGGGAGTGGAGATTGTTGGATTAGGTGGGCTGTGTATAAGAAATAGGATTGCATAGTATAATAAGTATACTAGGTAGTTCAAAGATAAGAAGATTGTGGATTGTGGATTCGTGAATTCGTGGATTCAATTTAGATTCTCCAAAATCTACTAAATTTTGACTGCTTTAGTCGTTTCCAGATGTTTATAATGGGTGAAGGTTGGTTAGTATTCTGTCTCGTAGTATGGGATGCTGAAGATGGATGCTGAAGATGGATGCTGAGTTACTAGCTGGGTAGTTGGGGCTACATAAGATGGATTGGAAGGCTTCGTATATGGTGGTACTTCAGATGGGATGGGATGATGGTGAGTGGTGGAAGTATATGTGTCTGTATTTGTGTCTGTATGTGTGTCAGGGTATCGATGTTGGTATTGAAACTGTGAATACTTGATCGATGGCTCTTTCTCCATGCTTCCTTTCATTGTATAAAGCATTCTTCCTTTGACATTTTTCGATTTTCGTTAATTTTGATTCTCGAGGGAGGATTGGGTTGGGGTTTGGAAGTGGAAGTGGAAGTTGGGTAAGAGAGGGGGGATGAAGAGGGGGGAGAGGGGATTGATATAAAGAGGTGTATGGATCAGAAGAGTGTAGAATTTTATAGTGTGCACCTCTGTTTCGCTTTTCTGTATGAGAGATAGAATGTGTGATTTTCTCTCTTGAATTGTATTTTAATTCTATAGGATTTGTAAAGGATATGCAGATAAATTATGCTTGGTGGCACAGGAGGGAAGCGTAATTGGAGTGGGGAGGGAGATATAAAGTTTGGATTGAAAACTGAGGTTTTTACTTGTGAAATATAGAAATATAGACAGAAGGGGTGATTACTAGCTGTGATCATTGTACTCGTAGTATAGAGATTATCACAAGTAAAATGGGAATTTCCTTGCATTTGGAAGTCGCTGGAAGAGATGATTCCGACATTCGTCAAGAAGAGTTTTGTGAATAGGAAGTAGAGATAACATTATAAAAGTATTAGGAAGACATACGAAAGTACGTTAAATAGAAGAAGATACTAGTTACAAAGGGAAAAAGGTGGAAATGGAGTGTGTGAAAGCGAATGTGAGTGCTATCCGTATAGCAACTTCGATGCCGTGAATAATATAATGTCATCATGATCACATGTTGGACAGTATGGTTCTTTGAGTATGATTATACTTATCTGATATAAGTACAGGTCTGGAGTTTGAGAGTAGAGCAAGTAGAAAACTATGTATGTATCACTGTTTGACTAGGTAGGTATTGACCAGAAGTTGGAAGTATAGGGTAGGGTGCTGAGAAAATGGAATAGAGAATTATATTTCTCATCGGTATGATGAATAATACTATAGGAATTTCTTATAAGGAAATCTTTAAGCGAGGATAACAAGGGCAGGGACAATGAAAGAGGTCATCCGTAGAGCTTAGCGAATATTAAAGATTGTACTAGTTTCTAGTGGTATGTTTAACTTCCCGTTGATTGATTACTTTAGTGAGGCACTAATCATTGCTAGACTGAAAATGGAATAATATAGTAAATTTGCATATCATTGTTTTCGTATACTAAGTGGAATAATAAATGAAGCAATAGGGTCTCTTTTCTTCAACATCTGTTGAGTATTTCCTCTGATATATCCTCCAACGAAAGCTATCCTGTCCTTTTATTTCAGTCTGATCAAATACTCAGCATGAATAAGCGAGACGAAAACGTTTGTTCGAAGTATCTCCAGCTAGTCTTATCACCCTTGCTAGTATGTTGTGGCAAAGTAAAGCAAATGAATATGCTTTGGGTTCAATGAAGAAGTGAATATGTATGAGGGTATTTTCATCCAAGTGGAAGAGTCGAATAGTATCGCTGGGATCTTCTGTAGTTAATGTTAACATTCTTTATGAATCAACTTGTAAAAATAGCACGACTGGTATCTCGAACTCCAGTGTGTTGCGGTGTGTAGGTAGATGGGGATTGATAGCGTTCATCACCTGTGACATCTTCTGTCAAAGATTCAAAGTATGGACTTCGGGCATCGAGGATAATCCAGTAGTAAACCTTGAAGCTTGAGTATGTTGTGAGCTGTGAGGAGGTAGTATTTTGCAAAAGTTCGATTCTCTCCCTCTTCCTTGACGAGTCATGTGGAACCAGCTAGTTGTAATCTTGAATGTATCCGTATTGCTGCAGTTGATGAAGGGATCACTCCATACATGCAGCGTCAAAGATCCTGCTGTTGAGTTCTGGCCATGCGTTCCTAGCCATCCGACTCCCGACCGTTTCCGGTATTAGTTCCAGTTTTTGTGATTCTGTCGTTTCGCCTCTCGTGAATGGTATCAAACTCCTAATCAACGCCAACATCGGCGTCGACCTTGGCTCTTTATAGG